CAAAACTACATCAAATATTGATATATCTTAAAAGATAGACAAATATCTAGGCAGCATTTGCCAATATGGCCTCTAATGCCTAGGCAACCATGTTTAAAATATGGCTGCATTACCTACGCAACAACATTACAAAAATCGCTTCAATAGCTAGGCATAATTTTCCAATATGTGTTTTTTGTTGAAAAACCAACACATTGCCTGATTTTAAAACTCCATAAATATCATGATTAAAATACACACACTCAATTAGACTATTGCTTCGCTCTCTAGGCTGATTTGAATGGTGGCAACCCATCCTAAATATGACATATTGGTCACATATCGCCCGAGAAAGAGGAAACTAGTATGTCAAAAAATATTTACTGCATCATAACAAGGGAATGTACAAGTATCATGTCCTAATGCATACCAGAAGTACAATAACACTCAATCACATGTACTGCAGTATACCATACCTCAAATCAAGGCAAACACCAATAACTTATATAACAGTAAACACTGCGATAAAACTTTCTGCTTTTTGACATTGTGAAATTTATTCGTTTTTTTTTTTTTGCAGAAAAATACAGTACTTTAACAAAACAAAATAAAATCATATTTATTATAGTTATTGTTCATACATGAGTTATTGAACATACTACATAGTTTGTAATTTCATCCAGCTTCTTTTAGTCATAATTCAAGACAAATAACAGGCAAAATATAAAGAATATAGAAAATTAACTTTTTTTCTCTCGTATTCTAGTGTAATCGGTGATTATATAAAAATTAATTATGGGTGCATAGGAAATACATTTCGTTGTGAACTATTCTTAATATAAATTTCTCAATTATATTGTCAAAATCAGTTGTTTCAGAGTTTTTTTCTCCCCGAAAATGAAAGAATTTCAAAATGTCGAAAACTAAAAGTCATTATCGTAGTGTTAGGCTGTTCATTCTTGTTCAAGTCGGTTATTTTCCAGTTGTAATATTTGTTACGTATATGTCGTCATTGTTATGAACATTCCTTGTGATAATATGTCTTCAGCGGTAAGAATCATATATACTGCCTTCATTTATTTTACTGTATAGTTATTCATTGCAGAATAACCAACGCACTGTCACCCACATATAAATTGGAATTACTTGTATTTACTTGCATATTGTGCAGCACGCCAAAAAAGGCCCTTCTTTTATTAGGCATTAATGACGGAACTACCGATTCATTTTGACAAATATTTTGTCTGACCATTCATTTAGAAGTAACATACACTGCAATTTAACTTGGGAAATGTATTTAAAAAGACGATCCTTCTCACGTATTTAGTAAACAAAAAACACAGAATTTCATAGCCCTGTGATTGCCTTAACATACACTATAAAAATGTTACATTATGGTATAGTATGTAAAGTATGCCAGTAAAAAACTCAAAACTATTTTTTTCCATTCTTAACCTCAGCAACTATGCATGAACGAGTACTGGTAAGGTGGTTTCGGAAAATGAACGTAATGCTTTATAAAATGCTAGTTCAGTTACTCATACTGCACTATTCCATGCCTATCAAAGGCAAGGCAGGCAATAAAGCTGACATCTTTGCCCGAAAGAGCTACTTACATTCATGTCAACCCAACCATGCGAGTTTATAAATCTAAAAAAACGGATGATTATACGATTATGATTTATAATGTTAATAAGAAACAAATGTACATGGTTTTGATTATGTTGTTAGTATTCTTCGTGCCCCCAACTTGCTTGATATTATGACAGAGTGAATGCTGCAGGCAATCAGTAAATAGAGTAATTGTCAATATATGGTCTGAAATACGTCATTCCAATATAAAGGAATGGTTGGGATACAGTAAGTACATTTTAATTACGAATAAAGTTATTCTTGTATAATTGAGGTTATCATAGCAGTATTTATCTATATTTCCAAACTTAATAATGCAATATCTTTTTCAAGAACATGTGTAACGGCCAGGGTCTTATTAGGCTAAACATTTCGAAATAAAGCCGGTTTCGGGAAGCTGGGCGGAACCATTAATGAGAAATGGACTGTTGACTAAATGACTTACGAGCACACAAAGATAAACTTTAGACTAATATTTAATAGAACCATAAAACTAAAGAAATAATAAAGATAAAACACAAATAAGAACTTATCTGAATATTTGTAAGTGTGTGACCAAGCAGTGACACCAAATAGGGGTTTGGGGAGTGATCACGTACAGTCTCTGTCTTTCACATCAGCATCCTATGGTGATTATGTACACGATGACAATATTTGTAGCAGTACCACACAATAAATGTAGCGGCGAGATCCTCAGTACAGGACTTTAGCATACAGCATCCAACAGAGCAGATGAGCAGTTTCCTCTTGTAGGTGATCCCAGACTGTAATGTCCACTCCAGTGAATATTGGAGGTACGGGTTCTATTTCTCCCTACATGGTCAGAGCTCTTCAGTATAGCTGTTGCCTCTTGTCTGGTCTGTCCTGCACTAAAGTAAAGGCGGGAAAACTACCACAAAATACCAAGTCCATAGTACAGTGTGTGTGTGAGTGTTCTGCTAATGCCTTTTTCATAACTACATAAACAGATGTCAGTAGTATCAATTACAGACTGGTATTTTGTGTACTCACGTTGAAGTCTAATATAAAGTTTAGTGTCTAAACTCAAGTTTACTCACTAGACAAGTTGAAAAACAAGTGTCTAATTCGAGAAAGAAGAAAAGCTGCTTTCACACATGATAATGTTTTGAGCTCAACTCGAGTTTAGCCGACTATTTGCATTTAACATATTGCCAGATCGAATCGAACAACTTGTTGAGAAACAGCAGTATGCAAGTCATTTGTATAACCTCATATATTAGATCTTTTGAACTCTGACTATTTATTTATCATACATAAACGCATATATGATGAGAAATATTACTTTGATAAAGTTTTGAATAAGAAATTTCTGCGATTGTTTATGACTAGTACTCCAACTGCTGAAATATCAATTATCGAAAATTTAACTCTTACACAGTAAATTACCAAGTGAGTGAGTGATACAGTAAAAATAGAGAAGCGTTGGGACCTGTGCTCTAGTGTGTAACATTTTCCTTCACCCCATATCATACAAAGGGCGTGTTTCATTGAGTAATAGTGATGTAGCAAATTACGTTTCAGGCCGACGCTTTTGTTCGTTGTTTATTACGATATTCAATGTTTCAATGATTACGATATTGTTTTCGATTTATTGTTTTACTTCTTTGAGTATCGGTACCTTACATCAGTCAAACTCACCAGAGTGAAGCTATAACACGTTTTTTTTTTTTTTTTCGTTTTTAGTCATTTGATGGAGCCACATAAATTGTTCACACTCGTGCAAATAGATTGTATCGTGGAACTTCATGAATTTACCGATATATCATACCCATTTTCTTATTATAATCGGACATAGTATATGATAGTTTGGAAAGTGGCACAGCGATTATTAAGAACATTTTAACTTGGGCCAGGCAGTTCCAGAACAAACTATTAGTACAGTGGATGTAGAAAATCGCACTGCGTTCGAACCCAACATTACTGGCTGAAAAACTGGTTGTACAAATGATGGGTTCACGGAGTAGAGTACAATTTATCGTCATACTAGTTACGGTAAAACGGTATTTTTCACATGCCTTTCTCGCGTTCGTCAGAGATCTAAAACGTCACGTAATATTTCTCATGAACATGCGTCATAGATTCAAATTACATATGTGTTGTCGGGGTGTTTTAAAGGAAAAACTTTTCCCGACATTTCACTCGAAATGTATGCATACATTGTACCTTTATTCGTGATATATGTTCTCTGTTATCATACAGACAAAATATACTCAATTCGAGTTTATGTAATATCAGGTATTTCCCCATCCCTGCAGTTTATTTTTAAAGCGAACATCGCTATTGTGACATTGCGAAGCAGTATTCAGGTAGTAACGCCCGTCCCATTCGTCAAACACAATATAATGTGTGTAACACAGATTTCAGGTGTACGTATATATCCCCAATACATATGTCTGGGAAAATCCGGGGTGGCACGGGACTGACCAATCGCATGACAAAACTTGCGTGAGGCTTAGAACCACGTAGTTGTGATTTTACGTGTGATTGGAGATTACCTGATATTTTGTTATGTATAACGACTTTTTCCCGTTTTAAACATTTTTCCTGTTACACCTAGTTAAAACGAGAAAAAAAACGCAATCGCTGAGACAGCACTATCAGTCAATAATGCAATAATGTCGGTGTCAAACAGTCAAGCGCCACCGCTGGTGACCCGTATTGTTGTATTTGACAATGAAGCAGCCACTGTAGTACTGAGCAAGGTCGCGTCGACATGGGATTATTTCAGCTACTATACGGTTGGCTTGGTGTCTGGATCATCATAATCTGCAG